ATACAAACTCAAAATGGTCAAGTGATCAAGATTATGACAGGGGGACGCAGAAGTCACCTGGCAACAATAAACACTTGTGGGCCCTCCTGGGCGAAATGTGTGAGTTCTCCAAAAAGTCCAAAAACATGCACCAGGTGTCCATTTAAAGTGCAGTCACTGTGAAGTTGGATCAAATGCCGAAGTTTTGGTGTGAGTGTGTTTCTTTTCTTCCCTAATAAAAGCCAGCTGCCTGTAGACAGCTGGTTCCTGTCTCAGTATCGTGTGATCATTCTGCCACCAGGACAGAAGTGAAAGCAAATCATCCAGATGTGAACCAAAGTGTCTACTTTCAACTTCTATCCACAAGGTTTATTAATCAGATTAAAACTTTCTGACTATAGTTTTTAGTCATTAGAAAATGTTGAAAAATATTTTACTTGACCCGTGAACTAAATGCTTATCATTAATTTGTTCCACACTGTGGATTTTGGTTCGCACATTTGTCTCAGAGAATAGAAGATGAGGATTTGATTCCGGTCTGGGGCCTTCCTGTGTGGAGTTTGCATGTGCTCCCCGTGCCTGTGTGGGATTTCTCCAGGTACTCCGGTTTCCTCCCTCATTCCAAAAACATGCATGGTAGGTTAATTGAACACCCTCAGGGGTAGGGAACTCCGGTTCCTCGAGAGCCATATTCTGCCTGTTTTAGATCCCTCTCTACTTCAACACACCTGATTCAAATGATCAGCTCATCAGCAAGCCCTGTAGAGGCCTGAAACAATCATGAACGATTGAATCAGGTGTGTTGGAATAGGGAGGGATTTAAAACAGGCAGGATATGGCTCTCGAGGAACCAGAGTTGCCTACCCATGGCCTAAATTGTCCCTCGGTGTGAGTGTGAGTGTGAATGGATGTTTGTCAATCTGGTCTCTGCGATTGGCTCACAACCATTTCAGGTTGTACCGCGACTACTGCCTGAAGACAGCTGGGATGAATGGGCTCCAGCATGCCCGTGACCCTCGTTCGCAGTTCGTATAATGGATGGATGGAACATACTCCATTCCTGGTCGACCGTTTTCAAATTACAAAAACAGAATTTCCCATCGGTAATAAAGCTCTGGTGTGATTTGTGCGGGACGCCGTTACTCAAAATTTTGAACCAGTCAACAGTAATACACGATGAAATATCACACCATCCACGCTGTTAATCATCAGCGCCAATTGAGAAGTGGATGTGGAACATTTCTGCGCGAGTTAAAACAGAAATGTGCTGTGTCTGAATTTGTTTCCTGACATCACAAACTGTTTTTGCAAGCTTACGTAAATAACATCACGTGTTTGATGAATTGAATTGAAGTGAATTTGACTTTATTTGGTCTCCCGCAGGAGAAACTTGTCTTGGAGGACCAGACCATGCTGCTAAATAAATTGGACAATACAGTGCAGACAAAATACAGTGCAGTCAAACACAACACTCATCCAAAATCCATACAAACTGACAGGCATAATACACACCCCACACAGCCCTCATGTCCTCCAGCTTGTCTGTCTGCGTCCCTCTAATTGCTTGTTAATTAAGCTCATAGCGTGTGGATAAATGAGTTTTTATAGCGGTTTAGTGCGCAGAAAGGGGTCCTATACTTCCTGAGTTTAGGAGCTCATACTGGGAGTGTAGCACATGGGAAGCATCTAGGATGTTGTTGGCCTGTCGAATAACAGACTGGACATATATGTCCGGGGGGTCTGCCCTATTATCTTCCCTTCTGTCTTAACCATGTTGGATATCTGAAATGTATATTTAACTGTTAGATTGCCAAACCAACTGGTTATCCCAAAGTGCATACTGATTTTGTTTGGAGCTAAGTCATTTGTAAATAGGGTGAACAGAAAAGACGAGCTCACGCAAGCTGGGGGTGGGGGGTTGGGGGGGGCTGTGTCACTCATAACGTCATCAGAGATTACAGAGTTAAATCTCACACGTTGCGATCTTTTGGATAAAAAGGAGTGGTACCACTTAATAAAGAAAGGATTGACATTCAACTGAACCAGCCTCTTCAACAAAATATGTGGACGGATGGAATTAAAGGCTGAGCTAAAGTCCATGAAGAGCAGTCTGGCATATCCCATTCTACCATCAAGATGCCGTAGAAGAAAGTGCAGAATGGTGGATATGGCATCACTCATACCACGATTGTTAGTGTAGGCAAATTGTGATTGATCTATTGCAGATTCCACCTGCATGCATAGTTTCTCGACAATGATCCTCTCTAACCCTTTCATCACCTTGGAGGTTAAGGCCACTAGTATATAATCGCTGCTGTCCTCGGGGCGGAGTTTTTTAGGGACTGGAATTATGATTGATTTCATCCAAAGCTCCAGCACATCAGTGTCTATAAGCAGCTGGATGAGAGGATACCAGGCCGGTGTTAATTCCTCAGCCAAGGTTTTTAATAAGTAAGCAGACATATTGTCTAGTCCAGTGGCTTTGTTTACACACAGTGATTTAAAAACCTGCTGAGTTGATTAACACCCTGTTATTAAAACCATTCTGCAGATTGTAGAGCAATTCAGTCAATTTCAAAATGCATCTAGAAAGTATTCGGCTCCTTTGCCCTCACTTTTTCATCGGGAGCCGACACAGGCTTCTTCTTAGTGTTTGTCATGGTGTGAATTGAGTCAGAAACTTCTTTGTGGTAGAATTGGACAGAGCTTGCTTTGACCACTCCTTGTGTTTAGACCATGCCACTGTTAGTTGACGGGTGAGATCCTACTAGGCCAATTTCAGCCCAGCCGAGTCTCCTAGCCAATGGTCTCTTTTCTTCTTCATAATGCACTCAATAACTCCCTTGGAAATATAAGGTTTATTGTTCGCAGATATTTTCACAGCTTTTTGAGGGATAATGTGCGTGCAGAAGGAGACATAATCTGTTATTACGTCTGCAGCCTCATGAGCATGTGTGTCTTGGAAGAAGACATTATTCCAGTCCGTACTGAGATAGCTTCCCTTGAGCTCCTCTACTTTGTCATTTGACCACATGTTCACATTTTTTATTCCTGGCTTGCTAGATTTAAAGGCTGATCTGTAGATGGGAAGTAGCTACCAAGACGAGGCAAGGCTCTAACAGTATAAGCATCCTTCATATCTCCATTACATTTATCGAGGATATTGTTATTTATCGTGCCACATTTTACATTCTGCTCTAAGCCAGGCAGTGATGTAACCAGATCGCAGCAATTTACGTCCCCTAAAATCAACATGGAGGCCCTCGGGTTTATCTTGTAAGTGCCGGTGGATACAGTCCATGATCTGTCTCGCTGCTTTTGCGGCATTCCCGTTTGGCGGCACGTACATGACACACACAAATATGTTGGTCAACACTCTCAGGAGGTAGTGCGGCTGTAGGGATAAGCACAGCAGCTACAGATCAGGGTTGCAGAATCCGTCCTTATTTGCGAAGTTCCTAGACCAGCTCTCACATAGGTAGACACAGAGACCATCCCTTTCTCGTTTTAGCAGAACGATCATCTCTGTCAGCACGTATGTGAGTGAACCTGTCAACTTGGATGAGATTGTCCGGAACACCAGCGTGAAACCAGGTTTCATACACACCAGCAAGCCAGACTCACGATATTTGAAGCTCGCTCCTGCCTGGGTGCGCAGCTCATCCAGATTGTTCTTTAGTGATTGCGGTTTGCAGAGCAGGATGCAAGTTTGACAGCTCTCTGCACCCATTGCCTGACGCCTCCTCTCCCGCCCCGCCTGACCTTACCCGGCAATGTCTCCCAGCATTGCCGGGTGTGGAGCGTTCACACGTATAAAGCTTCTTACCAAAGAGAAGCGTGTTAACCCTGGTGCAGCCCCACTTGCGTTCACACGGCAGTTTCTGTGGCCGTGCAATACGATAATAAAAATAATAATAAGTAATAACACGAAAATAAAACATTTGCATGCGTAAAGTGTACTTCCTTTTCCCCGCCTTGTTTGTGCCATATCGAAAAACCATGGTTTATACTTCTCCAGACAAATCAACGCTGTGGTCTATCAGACACCGTAAAAGGATGAGAGCGAGAAAGGAAAGAAGTGCAAAATACCCAGGATGCAAGTTATGCAATACACGTATGTAATCAACTCTTCTCACGTGTAGCGAGTCTACCACTGTAGCGTTCACACGTCCCATTTTATATCGGTGCTGCCCCGCAAACTAACATTTACTCCGGAGTCAATTTTTAAACCACCTCCAGAGCAGGATTAAATTAGTTCCAGTTTAAGCTGTTTTCAGGGGCTACACCGATATAACTTTGTATGTGTGAACGCTCTATGGGGGGCAGCAGTAAAAGTTGCCGTGTGAACACCCCTATAGTTATATCAATATTCTTTTCATGTCGCGTTTAGCAGCCACTGTACAGAAATACAGTATATATGCTACTAGTTTCAAGAGAAGGCTAATCAGTGGTCAGTACAGATGTGCACACTTATTGCGTTTCTCATTGTAGTACTACACTTAAGATGTAATAAATTATTCATGCATGCTTTTTGAAATTATTTGTGAGAAAGTTTTGTTTTGTAATTACAATACAATACAATACAATACATCTTGATTTATATATTACTGCCATTAAACTTGACAATGCCACCACAAACCGTTAACAATGACTGATTAACTATACTGTATCATAAAATGTTACCCATAATGAATGTTGTTGAAAGAATTACCATTTGAAATGTTCATTTTTTTTTCTCCATTATTATCGTACTGCTTTTTAAGCAAATTTCAGTGAGCAGTCCACTGAAAATAAAGTATTCAACTGTCATTTGCACATGATTAAAATGTGTTAAATATGCAATTTCCTCAAAAATAATATTTAATGTAACACATTTTAATCAACTTCAACACATGTACATGTTTGAATTAGATTAATCCAAAGTTTGTTTTTTTCAGTGGAGAAGCCTGCTTGAAGTACATGAAAAAAAGGATTGAACACATGGAATCCCAAACATACTTCTTTCCAAACGTGAACCCTACCTTCTGTCGAATCTCTTCTTCCATTTTGATGGGGGAGCCAAACTCAGCAACTTGTCGGACCCCCTCGCTAGCATAACCTCCATACTCCCAGAGCACATAACCTCGAGTGTGGGATGCACCAATCAGTGCAGACCAGTGGTTGGCCCGTCCTGTAGGACAGAAACATAATAAATTCTGATGGGTGAAAACGGTGACAGTACTGTGCCAAACCTGACAGTATTCTGTGTCTTAAAATAATAAAGAAGGGCCCGATGTAAAGAGTTGTATTGGTTACTCCAGTAGAAATTTCCTCAACTTTACCAAGACACACATTTTACATCAGAAACATGTCATGTCACATCAACAAACAAAAATGTCCCAAAAGGCATAAACACTGAAATAAGACATATTGTAGGGCTCTATTTTATTGCTCAGCGCAAGTCTAGCATGAGGCGAAGTCTAAATTTCTGCAGCGGCAGGGTGGAACTTGTTGTGGTATTTTCACAGAAAGGTTCAAGCGGGTGCAGCGGGGCAGATTAAAAAAAGGTTTTTTGCACCATTGTGGTTGGTTGTGAACACAGCCGACTCGATTGGCAAGCAATCAAAGCGAATCCTCTCACGTTGTTTAAATGAAGATCTCGGGCATTTGTAGTCCTTCACATGGTGGAAGAAGAAACAAATTTACTTTAGTCGTGTGGCAGGTCGTGCTGTGCAAAAAAAATATGTATATTAGGTACTGCAAGCAGACCTCTGTGGGCGGATGACGTAAAGTCAGCCAGGGAGATCACAAATTCTTTGCCATGGGAAGTGGGATGATTTAAAAAAAGATAAAGGGAATAGTAATAACAATAAAATATTCAGTGAATTGATTTTACAATGACAATGCTGTACTTTTCTCTGAATGAAAAACAATGGCATGCATAACACATGTCTGCAGAGCTCAGAATCTGTGCCCTGATCAAATTCATGAAGATTGCTTTATATTACATGTGCCAAAACTTAGACGTGGTTACAGTAGGCATCAAGTGTAGACAAAGTTCAGACTAACCAAACTCCCAAACATGCCCAACAAAGCTCCCGCCGGCATAAAACTCAAGATGCCTAAGGTTTTACCCTGAAGCACAGCTGCTAGCTACGAAAATAAACCCTATTGTATAAATTTCCTAACAAATGCACTTGTGTGCAATCTAATCAAAACTGATATACTTGCAGCAAGCCATCACTTATTCTCTTGTATGAATGACAAGAAGTGGAAACAAGTTATTTGTACCATCTGCCACCCATTGGAAGATCATTTTATTGTTCTACTGCTCACTATTACTGGCATATATATTTGGACAAAGATTCATTATTTGTTGTAAATAAAAACTGACTTTTGGACCAGTACCTGAAATGGGGTAATTGTTCTAAATTATGCCAGCCAACATCCAATTTTGGAGAGATGGAAAATATTTCGTCAATGAAACAACAACAGTAATTTGATTGGGACTCACTGTTCTGAATTATGCCAGCCAACATCCAATTTTGTAAGGATGGAAAATATTTTGACAATGATTCAACAAAAATAATTTGGTTGGGACTCACTATTCTGAATTAAACCAGGCAAGATCCACATTTTTTAGGGCTTGAAAATATTTTGGCAATGACTGAACAAAAAGAATTTTGTGAATCTAGCATTGTAAGTGTGTGTGTGTGTGTGTGTGTGTGTGTGTGTGTGTGTGTGTGTGTGTGTGTGTGTGTGTGTGTGATGTTATACTTAATGCAGTGGTTCTTAACCTTGTTGGAGGTACCGAACCCAACCTTTTCAGATGCACATTCACCGAACCCTTCATTGGGGAAAAATAAAAATATGATTCAAGAAGATGGCAAATCATGCAGATAGGACGCTGAGTCCCATCACTTTCCGTGAGGCATGTGAATCCATGTTGTTAATAGTTGTCTGAACGCTTTTTTTTTCGACATAGCATGTATTAAAAAAATTCTAAAAAAAAATAAAAAAATCACATGACGTACTATCACGACAGTCACACGTTGACGACTGAGCGAACTAAATTTCCCGCAGCACTGATTGGACAAGCAATGTAATGTGATCATCTGCAGCCAGTGGTGGCCAAGCGGGCATGACATAACTAATTAACATGCTGAGTGGGGTGTGTCTCAACCTCCATGGCAGAGGCTCCGTGGAACCCCTGAGGCCGATTCACCGAACCCCTGGGGTTCGATCGAACCCAGGTTGAGAACCACTGGCTTAATGTTTTAAGGGACATAAACTTTGGACCACACACTTATCAGAAAAAGCATATAAACCTAAGAAGACAATTGTTAAAACCATATTGTAATAAAATGTTTTCATTTTGACTTTAGATGACACCAGTGGCAGTAGAGTACAATGAAGAGAATAAAAGGATTCTCGTCACCCACAAAAAAACAAAAAACAAAAGTGAAACTCTCCATACTTGAGCAACAGCGGTGTACAGTACATATATGATGATGCTGTCTCAATAATGTACTGTGACCCCTCCACACACATCGACTGGGATGAATTCAAAATTACATATATGATGTGGCATATTAAAGAATTCTTTACTGGCTCGCTATATGTCTGCACATATACTGTATGCATGCTTAAGACGTGAGCTCACTGGGATAGTCTTTGGGATGCACTTTCTCCGACCAGTTGCCATAGAAGGTGAGTCTGTATTTGGCTGTCCCGCAGGCACAACACTCCAAGGCAGGGTCTGCTGTTGCCTCTCCTAACACCCGCTCTGCATAGAAAAGGTTGAGTAACATTAGCTTCAATAAAAATAAGCCAATAAAATAATCCGTAAATAAAGCAAAAACCTTGTCAAGATACCATCCCAAAACACAAAGAAAAGGCATTCTGAGTGTTTGTCCAAATGCATGCATAATGGAAAAGTACAGAACCAAAGATAAATTGGTGGATAAATGGTTTTGAACCTGGAAGTCCACTCATCCATCTCCATATCCATTACTACCTTTGACCAGTGTGGCAATGACAGGATGAGGCTATATGAATAGTCATGATAGGAAATTAGTCTGAAAAAATATCGTCATGTCAGAAGAGGATTTTTTTGCGCAATTGTTTGAATCAGCATTTTTAGAAATAAGAGAGTCCAATCCCCAAATGCAAAGGCAATGTTTAAACAGACAGGCAGCATTGTTACAAAGGGATTTTACTCAGCAGCGTATGCCCGGCAACCCGAAGGCTGAAACGCTGCTCTGTGGTAAAACACAAAAGAATATTTCAACACAGACTCCCGGGAGATGCCCTCACGGCTTTCCTGTCTGCCTCTCTTGGCATAATTTTGAAAAATGGCACAGAGAAACCGGGAGATCCTGTACGGGCATGAAATAAAATGAGGCATGGTAAAGCTTGGCCCCATATTCGGTGGTCAAGGGTATGAGCAGAAAGGAGGAAGACCATGATAGGCAGCTGTCATTACCTTTCTCGCATAGCCGGATGGTAAGAGAGCCCTCGTCCTGGAAATAGATGATTTTCTTCTGGACAATGCTCGCCCTGAAGACAAAGAAGAAATATTGTACAATATTGTTGTTGTGTCTCCGCAAAACATCAAATCCATGTCATCTTGCAAGGAGTATACTTTGGTCTTAATTTACTTCCGGTTTGGGCCTGCAAAACGGAATAATTAGCAATCTTATACTCCGTATACTTTAAGTGAGCGAGAGAACATGCTTTGGAATCTTAAATGAGGCCTTTATTGGTTGTCACAAGAACTCTACTGTATTCATTAAATTGCAGCAATTTTAATTTTAAGAAATTATGCCATACGGAGCAAAGCTACATCTTTACTCGGTTAAGTTATATTCTATTTACAAGGCAGCAACCTCAAAATGGATAAATCAATATTTTTAAACCTGAATTGCTTTTAGAGTATGACAGTACAATCAAACCTCGGTTTTTGAACGTCTTTGTTCTCGACCAAATCGGCTTTCGACCAAAAATTTCGAGTTTTTTATGCCTCGGATTATGACCGAAAATCGGTTCTCGACCAAAGTGAGCGCACTTGAATGCGCCACTCGACTCCTCTCGCCTTCCTTACACGAGGAAGTGACGCTTGCTCGGGTAGACGAGGAAGTGAAGCTTCCTCGTGTAGCGTTCCATTGTGAGCAGACGTGCTCAATAAAGATTTTTTTTTTAAAGAGCATGGTATGGGTTTTCAAACAAATCTGCTTTCGAACAGCCTTCTGGAACGGATTATGGTCGAAAACCGAGGTATGACTGGATATAACATCCCTTGCAATTGGGGTGTACAGTAAGTTTGATGGCTATGTTTTGCACCTTTAAATACCAGTCGAAACCTTGCACAGACTGCAACCGAAATGCAATCTTTATTTTTGCAGCCTGCGAGAAGTAAGAATTTCATCTGGTCACATTTGTGCGAGTGCATCTGTCGGAAAGACTGGGGGTAACTGAAGTGCAGTTTCATCAGATGAGTTTTTTCACCAACATGGACCAGTTGCCACGTGCTTTCGACATCCTGTTGAACCACACTGCAGAGAAGAAGGGGACCAGTACGGTAGTGATACGCACAAAGGAAGGGAGAGAAGTGTTGTGCTCGCAAAAGCCCTCATAATTTCTAAGGAGGCGCACGGCAATGAGACTGACTCTGACAATGACGCGAGGGTGCCTGGCGTGCTTGATTGCCCAGCTGTTCATTTCGGTTACAGAAGATAGGGACTTAGATGGATTTGAGGATGAGGACTAATAAAAATATCCTGTGAGTACCTTGTTAAATACTTCAATAAAGTACAACCAAACTCAGTTTTGCTCCCTTTGCCTTTTCAAAATCACACGCCAGCCTGCATGCATGCTACCGTATGCTAGTGTATGTTTTACCATACCTGCGTCCAATAATTTAATGTGTCTTGTCTCTGTGTTAAGTACAGAAATAGTACTCGTAACTGACACTACGCCTTTTAATACTGTGCATCATATGGTTGTGAAAATACTGTATCTCAAGGGTGCTAAAAAAAATGGTAAGACCTCTATGAATCCGTGGGTTTTGTGCAAACCCATGTTCCTTTAACCTCCATCGTTGCATGTTCTTTTAGTGTCATTGTGCTCAAAACTGGTTTGGATTTACCCATTTTTCAGGGTCCCAGTCTTGGAATTAATTATAGTTTAACTTGGCCTTGGCTCTGACACGACATTTATTCAAGGACAAGTCAATTCGTGCATGCTTTATTTGTGAATTTAATGACTATGATTCAAATATTGTGTTTTGCGATAGATCAACAAAATACTTAGATGCCATCCATGACTGACTGCACTGCAGATTCCCAAAGCGTCACAAATCTGCACTGAATGTTTTGTCAGTCTGACCTCTTTAGCACTAATGAAGGGGGGTTAAGAAAATTGGGCCTCATAATGAGACACACATGTGTACCTTTAGGTCCCGAGTCATATTTTTGAAATTCAATGAAACACTATTTTAAGAGTTCCCACTGACATTATGAGAGGATGCTTTTGCTGTACAGGAACACCCCTGATTGTACTTGGTGGCGACCTTCATTTTACAGATAACAGCTGCTGATTGTTTATTTTTTGTATCTGCATATGTGCTCTTAATATGAATGTTAATATCTCATTTTCATAGTGCATTTCTCAAGGCTTGTGTAAATGTTTTACGATTCAAAAACACAACTTAACTTGCCCCATTCTTGTTCTCGACTTACATTCTTTCAATTTTGGTCTTGACTTGTTCTCAAACCTCAACATTTCGGTTTAATCTGGTGCATTGACTACTAAATAACCCGCCTCAACATGCACTGTGCTGCATATCCGACAGGGACATACATCAGCATATTGTGATTAACAGTTCATTTAGTCAGTGTCACACTAAAGCTGGGAATTAGATTTAGCATTTAGAGATCTTAAAATGTTTGCCATAAAGGTCTATTATTATTACGTCCGTATGGTGGCAACAGGGTCTTGGGTGCTTGTACTTGATCATGCAGAGACACATAAAACTGTGTTATTCAAGTGAGCAAAAACACATTGACTGGACACAAGGGAGAAACTGGAGACATTATATTGAAGTTATTAGTTATATTGCTTCTATAAATCTAACAGAGCAAATGGTGCAATAGGGTGACTGCTAAGGCATGAAATTGAAAACAAAAGTGAAATATACAGAACATCACCATGCTTCAATTGATGACTCCATAACATATTCAGTGTTGCTAATGGTCAATTTGTCTGCATCATGTCATTTAATCACTCAATGCACCAATAAAATTCAAATCAAAATAAAAAATGGAGGTGGTCATGGTGTCTAGGGACTGTCAGCTAGAGTGACATGCAATGTCTGTCTTTCCTTATTTTTCCTTGGAAAACAAACAAAAAAAAGTAGTGATATTCCTTTAAAATTCCAGACTCTAGATTGCAGATGACAACGTGAGGTCAGGAGTAACACAAATCACTGACCATGCAAATATTGCATCCTATAGCTGTCAAGATGTCACCATTGAAAATGCGCTTATTCCGATGATGCATTTAATATTTTGAATTGGAAACTACAGTGCAAAGTAGTACATTATCTTCAAATGCAACCTCAAGGAGTCAGTCAATGCTGCTCACTGGCATCTCTTGACAGTTTTACCTTGGGGTGGCGAGCAGTGGTGTAGTGAGGATTTTTTTAAGTGGGTGTACGCGATTCTGGGATGTTCTATATATACATACAGAACATCAATCATAGGCTACAACACCAGTTGAACTAACGTTAAATTTAATGTTTTACTACTCCAAAATAATCACAGGCCAACGTTATTAAGCATAACTCGCATTAGAACAATGATCAACAAACATTTCAATAAAATTTTAATGTGGCGTCGGGAGAAGTGGGTGTACGGCGTACCCCCGCGTACCACGCCCACTACACCCCTGGTGGCGAGGGGTGGCAGGAGGTTCATTTGGGAAGGCGGAGGTTACAACACACATTTCTAATTCAGGTTTCATTTTCTGTATTCCCTGGCACATTTTATACACGTCACGTGAATAACGTTGAGCACAATGTTGGGCACTCAGTCCGTGTAAGCCATGCAATAACAATTCTCACCTCGGGCTGCCACAAATGATTACTGTGCTACAGTATTTTCCGCACTATAAGGTGCAACTAGAAGCATTCAATTTTCTCAAAATTATAATCTGATGTGCCTTATATATGGATCAATATTCTGATTTCTTGGACGTAGTATTTTAAATGTTCTGTAAAGCACTTTGTTACAGCTGCAGCGGTTGTGAAAGCTTTATATAGATAAACCTGTATTGTATTGTATTGTATTATATTCCCTTTAGCATAGCTCCATCTAGTGGATGCAAAATGCAACCGCAGCCGCTATGGTAGCTTCTGTTCTATGCGCCTTATAAGATGGTGCGCCCTCTATATGAAAACTAAATGAGCTGCGCACCCAGACAGGAGCGTTTTTAAATGGGCCATTCATTGAAGGTGAGCCTGAAACTCCGAAGCACCTTGTAGCGCGAAAAATACGGTAGTTGACTAGTCACCAATAGTAGTTGCAATTAGTCGACTCATCAGATCACAGGTCAATCACAGCATATCACACGAACAAGCAACTTCTCTTATATAACCATCATTACCTTTACAGCCTGAATTCTTTGTACAAACTAAAAATAAATGATGATATTACATTCAACTTTGATTAAACTTTGTAGCTTGTAGCAGCATTCCTGACATGTTTCTAAACATTTACATTGCACCTTTATGGTGCAATGTAAAGGTGATACTATGGCCTTAACATTATTAGCTGTAAATGTTGAGCATGCTCCGCATAATATAATATGTGGCAACTGAGGCCTCCTATAAAACTGCCAAAATATCACTGACTACCTTGCTTCCATTTCCGACGTAATGTGTTTGTGAAGCAGGATTATCTGGAATTGTGGCGACTAAAACAACAAATGTGGACTGGACACATTTTTTGTGTTATTGTCTCCCATTATCCCAAGACCAGTTTCTTGAAGAGAAACAAGCTCACGATATACAACAGCCACATTCAGCGCCATGGTGAGTAGTAGTTTGAATAGTTAGTGTTTATTTCTTTCCATTCCTGTCCATTAAAAAAAAAAAAAAAAAAAAAAAAAAAGCTGAAACCAATCCAAGGCACAAAAAAAAGGTTGGTATAGCTGGATAGATAGAATGATCTTACTTGATCAATTACCGTGATTTTCAGACTATAAGGCGTTACTTTTTTCCCAAACTTTGAACCCTGCATCTCTACAACACGCAACAAACTGATTTCCAAAGATTGCACTGCACTGCGGTGAAGCTGAAGCTTGTCGGCAAATTGGCCTCATGTGACAACGAGAGACTGAGAGGTTCTCGGATGGTACTGAGCAACTGGCTGCGTTCGGCATTGTTTGGGGGGGGGAAAGAAAAAGCATCTACCATTGTTTAAGAAAAATAAAGGTTTTTATGCAAATATACCATGTTATAATATGGGAACCCAGGGATATGAATTAATATAAAGCGGCCA